TCTTGTTTCTTGCTACTCGACTATACTTGGAACGCAACGAAGACACCTCTGTTTGCGTATGTATCGACAGAAAAAATGAAAAAATCTTTTCTTTTTTTTTCTTCGGGCGAGGGAGGGATGACGAACTGGTCTTGTGGAAGAGGATGTGCTGATCAATCGCAGACCTGGTGGATTATGTTTGGGAGCTGTTAGGCGTGCCTATTGTTTTTTGCTTGGTTTCGTGGTAAACTTTCAATGAAATTTCGCTTTTCGTCGTTTCTTTTGCGCGTTGTTGTTCGCAGAGTTGGTTCTTGTGTGTGTCTTCTCTTGTGGACACTACTAAGCCCCCCCCTCTTTTTTTTCTCCCACCGCCTCGCCCCTCCCGCTTTTTCCCGCTGCGACAATACGATAGTTCGTCAACTCGTACGCGTCGCTGTTCTACATCGCGTTCGTTCAGCCCTTCACGACCGGGTGTAGCTACGAGTCTTGCCTGGACAGCCTGTGCCAGTCGCTCGCCATCATCTTCTGCACGCGGCTGATCATCGCCAACACCATAGAGATATATCTACCGCGATACTTAATGGCGAAAAAGAAGGCGAAGGTCCGTGAGAGCGGGGCGTGAGAATAGTGACTGCTTTAGCTACTACTCTTCTGTGTGTGCCCACCACGGCATGGGGTGTTATTTCGTTCTTTTTGTTTTTTTTAACGTTTCTTTATGTCAGCCTTGTTCCTGAGGTGCCCTAGGTAGGCAACCATGCGGCGGTTCGTGAGAGCTATAATACAAGACGAGAGGAGGGGGGCGAGGGAACGGGCGACCGGTTTGGTTATTTCGGCAAAGACGCTTGTACACCTCTCGTTCATCTGTTCCTTCCCCCACGTTTCCGGCCGCCGCCTTCTCGCGTTGTGGGACGGGCTGCTGACCCCCCCCCCCCCCCCCCCCCCCCCCCCCCCCCCCCCCCCCCCCCCCCCCCCCCCCCCCCCCCCCCCNCACCGGAGGATGCTGTGTTCACGGAGGCGGAGGCGGAGTACGTGCTGGAGACGTACGACGAGATGATGGGGCCGCTGGGGGACATGAGCGAGATCGCCATCCAGTTCGGCTACGTGACCCTCTTCGTGGTGTCGTTCCCCATTGCTCCGGTGAGACGGATGGACACCTGTGGGTGCCTGTGTGTGGTTTCGTTGTTGTTGTTGTTGTTGTTCGTTGTGATCGTCTTTGGTGCGATTGGTGGTGATGGTGCCGTTGTTGTTGCTGTCGTTGCTGTTGTCGTTGTCGGCGTTGTTGCGGTTGCTGCTCTTGTTGCTTGAGCTTACGTTGCGGCGTTTCAGGATGTTGATGTCATGTTCGTGGACCGATGGACTGAAGCGTCGGTGGGTAAATGCTGGTACACGCAAATCGGTGGCGATTATGACCATGGCCGCTACTCATGCTTGGATCACTTACGCCAAGCTTTGGCGAGGATGGGAGAAGCTGCTGCCTCGCGGGTGGCGGTCGCGTTCTCGGAAACACAGCTCCGTAGAAGCAGCACTCGTCAACATCATAGCGTCCCCCCCCCGGGTACTACTCCCTGCTGCTTTGAACGCTTCCTCCGGCTGCTTGCATTCCTCCATATCCTTGGCACTCTCTCCGTCCTCACCTCCCTACTTCGTTCTTACACCCCTGTTGTCATCACTCCCACTTGTCATCCCTCCGTCCTTTCAACTCTTTCTCCTCCGTCCTTTTTTGCGTTCGATCAATCATCCCCTCCCCCTCCGGGCCAGCTGCTGGCGTGGATCTCCAACTACGTGGAGATCCGAGTAGACGCCACCAAGATCCTGTACGAGCACCGAAGACCTTTCCCGAGAGGGGCGCAGGACATCGGGACGTGGCAGATGGTCTGGACCGCGGTCGCGGCTGTGGCTGTCGCTACAAACGCTGGATTGGTGAGAGATACGAGATGAGAGGAACGTCCTTGTCGTGTGTTGTGCCAGCAGTGATGAGGGGAGGGGAAGGAGAGTATTTTTTTGTCGTTGTTGTATGTCTCAAACGCCGGATTGGTGAGCGGGGGGGGGCGGCGTTGTTGTGTTCGGCCACCAACGATTAGGGGGGGGGAGGAGAGAAATCTGTTTTGTCGTTGGTGTATTCCACCAAGGCTGGATTGGTGAGAGGTACATACATAACTGTTGCCTTGTTGGACCCTAACCCTAAGCCTAAAAAGGAAGCGTACCATAAGTCACACATGACGCTACGCACCCTGGACCGATTTTCAAAGCTCCACAACGAAAAGGATTCGTCAACCAAATAACTTGTTACAGAAGCTCTCGACGAGACAATTCCCGCGTCACCGTTTTTTCGTCACCGCCACTCTGTGCGCTGTAGAGAAATCGAGCTTTGAAAAGTGGTGCAAGGTGTGTGTTTTCTTGTGTCACCTCACCTACGCATACGGTACATGCTGGGTCCCCTTCATGCATTTACGGTAGAATATCCCCAACGTTTGTCGGGGGAGACTCCCTGTTTCACATACATAAACTGGTGGTAGTTCTACTTCTATCGCACGGCTAAACAAGTATACCCCCTGCCCCAACTTGACCCCCGGATCGCGTGCCCCTCCCCCCTCCCCTAGATTTTGTTCACGTCGGAAGACGTGACTTGGGACGGGGAGGACAAAGTGTGGGCCTTCGTGGGGTGGCAGTACGGGGTGTTCGGCTTGATGGCCCTCTTCGCGTTGTTCGTGCCCGACGTACCGAACACCGTGACCATCCAGCTCAAGAGACAGGCTTTCATCACCTCCAAGGTCATCGACCAGGTGCATACCCCCCCCCCCCCCCCCCCCCCCCCCCCCCCCCCCCCCCCCCCCCCCCNCCCCCCCCCCCCCCCCCTTTTTTTTTTTGTTCCTGTTCGCTGTGTCCATTTTGGTGGCCTCTTTTGGTCTGCGTCTCGTTGTGTGTGTGTGCGCGTTTTTATTTATTGCGCCATCGCCCTCGCCATGTGTCATGCGCACGAAGCGGGCATGGCGAGGCCGAGTAGAACCGTTCCCGCCTGGCCTACTACTGCAGGTTGACGTTTTGTCGATTACCTCATGTCTCACAGATTTCACGCACACGTGCCTCAAACGTGGGTGCATGCCCTCTGCCCTGGCCCCCTTCCCCCCTTGCAGACATAACTACCCTGGCTGGCTGGTGGCTGGTGCCTCTCGTCCATTCACCCCCCCCCCCCCCCCCCCCCCCCCCCCCCCCCCCCCCCCCCCCCCCCCCCCCCCCCCCCCCCCCCCNTGACTCTGATTCCGCCGCCGCCGTATCGTGGCCACCGTTGACCTCCGTTTGTTTTTGCTTTCTATCTCCGCAGCCTCCGCTGCTTGTTTGGGTGTGCATTCCGTACGTACTTGTGCAAAAACTACATGACAGCATCGGCTTGACTTGTTTTGTGTGGCAAGTAAATATATGGCGGCAATTGGACGGCGCCGTGACTCGATTTTGACCAATGAATCTCTTTTTGCGTGTCTCTTCCTGACTTGTTTGTGTTTTTGCGTTGTGTGGTGTTGTGTTTTGCAACAGATTCCTGACGAGCAGCGATTGGCCCACGTCCGATCGGCGGGGCAGCGCAACCTGGACATCAAGGGCAGGGACGACCGACCCCCAGCCAAGGAGAAACTTGTCATCCCTAGGTACTCCATTTGCTGATACGGTGTCATCCTCCAGGGAGACCTGGTGTTGCCATGGCCGTCTGATTCGATTTCCTGATGGTGCTTCGGTGTCTGCTCACGTCATCTGTGATCTGTGATGCACGTACGTGTGGTGGTCCGAAACGAGCGATAGGTCATGTTGTTTGGTTCCTTAGTCTTGACGCCCGGATAACAAGAGTCTTATTTGCGTCTTCGCGACCTCTCCATCATCCGCGCTCCGGATAGGGGTGCTTCGTATCTAGTGTGCTTTGCCCCCCGCCGCTCGGTGTGGTGTGCTGCTGCTGCTGCTTGGTGTTTCCACCCCGATGAACTCTCGCTGCGGGATCTCGTTGAAATATTCGCCGTTATCTCGGAAAGAAAATCAGGACATCATGCGTTGGCCTGTTACGTTTTCGTGTGCTGGGGGGAAATTCTTTCTTGACGTGTGTTCCGGGTCGGACGGGGGGGAGGGGGGCGAGCTATTGTTTGCCGAAAATCACACGGCGTCCGTATGCATGTGGCGCTGTGACAGGGTGGGTGGGTGTGTCAGAGAAGCATGAACCTGGGGGGGGGGCGTTTGGAATTGTTGTACTCGATTTCATGTTGAGCAGCAACCTGCCGTGAGCTGCTTTGAATTTCCCGCCGAATGGGCACTACTGTTTTGGTGAGACTTTTCTTTTTCTCCTACGCTTGGCGTTCTCGGAACGTTTGTACGGTCACCCCTCTCACGGCGATCGTCTGTTTCTGAAAACACGTCAACATACGTCCCGTGGTGTACAAGATAGTCTGCGAGGTCAGGGATTCCTTGTTTTCCCTGCCTCTTCCTACTTGGACTATTGATGCTGCTTGTTGCCAGGAGTTTTTGTCGGGTGCTCGTTACATGTTCACGCTCGAAGGGTTTGCTGTAGTATTGTATCTATCGGTCTGGGGAGGCAGGCCATCTGACGTCATAACAAAGGAGGATCATGCTTTGCTTACTTCTAGGAGGGGAACGCCGCTAGTAGGCGCTTTGGACGTACATTCATTTTAGGGTGGACGGGTGGCGAGGTGTTTGTCGTGGTTTGCATTGCACTAGCGCTGCTGCTGTCTGATTTTATATATTTAAGAGGCCCGCAATTTGCGGGGGGTGGAAAGAGAATTCGTGCGTTGTGTCTCTTGTTCCGTTTGACGGGACTCTATAAAAACATACATCGTCGTGGCATCGATTCCACGTACGATGTCATGATATTGTTGCAATTGTATGTCGTTGTCGGGGGCGTTGAGCGAGTGTGCGATATGTGGACATTCACGTCGCGCGTTTTGAATCTCACGTTGTATCAATGTTATATCCGTGCTGAATGCCATGGATCGGTCTTCTTTTCTTAGCGAAACCGTTTTTGGTAAGGCACCTACCATATATCTACCTAACGCGCGGTGTCGTTGGGTCGACTTGCGTTGAGGTCGCTCGCTCGCGGTGCTGGCTGCTTGTCTTGCGGCAGCTTCGTGCAAGAACGCGCCCATCGTCACCACGCAGGGAAATGAGACTGCGCGCACCCGGTTCCGCCAAATGGGCACAGACAAGGAATGAATGACAAGCGGCGGTTCTCTCTTTCGAGTTGTATACTAAACCTTCGTACGCACCTACGTGCTTCGTCCAACTGCTGTGACGTGGACGGACGTCTTCCGTCAGGGGCCCTTTCACGAAACGCCGGGGCGGGGTGTACTCATGGTCGCGGATGCCGTAGGTGTCACCCCATCCATTGACCTTGCACGCCTACGAAGAAAAAGCCGGGACGGAGCACGCTGGGTCCTCACCGGGCCAGGCTCTCAGCACCAAGCATGAAGCACCGTGAACTATTCGGCAAGTCGCATGCGGGGTGCACTGCATTCTGTTCAGGGTGTTCGGCATCCTGTGCTTACTTCCTTGCACATGGAAGACAGCTTCGAATGACTTGCGTTGTTTTATGGTGATATCTTCAGCGCAAGGGAGGGATGACCTGACCCTAAACAAGCTCATGGTATGATAAGTACACAACAAATCCACGTGGAGGCGTGATGTTTACGCCGAGAACGATGCAACAGCTTGGGGGACCAATGGATGGATAGGTGGATGTGCTGACGTGCATAAATACCACTTCCTTCGCGGTGGTTATCGCGGTCGCCCCTGCCACATCCGTCCGTGGTGTGAACATCACTTAACTTGCACCTTGTGTGTCGCGTGTTCTCGAAGAACGAGCGCGGTTGTTCGCTTGGAAAGAATCGAATCTCATGATGTTGTCCACTCGCTCTTGTTCTGCAAATGGCGCATAGGGGAGAAAGTAAGACACACATGCGCCCCGAGGAAGGTGCTTCCTACAACCAACCCTCGTACCCGCAATTTAGCGTTTTGTGTTTCATTGCAGGCCACGAGAGAGAGAGAGGAAGGAAAGGCTCCCCGTGCAAGGGACCGACCCATGAATCGATTCAATCGTGGTCGGTCAGGTCTCATCCATGCTTCATCACGAACGAGTTGATCGGAATACCACCTCACTTCCTTACAGGCCGACCATGACCACAAACAAGCCGAGACTAAATTGCCTGGAACAAGAGGTCATAAATGTTTGTCGTTAGGTGCTAAAACTTTTTCTGGCGGACGAACGTAACAACCGGTCGCTCGCCCCGGTGGTCTAGTGGGTACCCTCACCGCCTACTCAGGGCCAGGTTCCGGCATATCGAGTTTTTCTCTCTAATTAAATCCTGGTCTACGTTGGAAGAGACGCGCTGCGAAGCTCGCTGTTAGTAAGCTGATCGACTTCATTGTCGACATCGACTTACCCTTTTCGCGATAAAAATGTCTCAGACAGGCACTGCAGGAGGTTGTTGTTGTTGACTTCACACTGCAGGAGGTAGGTGGGGACAAAAGAAGAAAAAAAAGAAGAAAAACCGCGGCGTGGTTACCCCCTCCTGTGTGACCCCGGACGGTGCGTCTAGCTAGTGGTAGTGTACCAAGTACGCTGAGAAGTGTGCACATACGCGGCAAACGTGTAGTGTGCACCGAGCAGGAGTAAGTAGGCGGCGCCAGAGATGGGACGAGAAAACAAAAATTAAGGGTCGTTCAATATTTTACATTTTTTGTCAAGTTTTTCTCTCTCTCTCCCTCTCGCGCTTCTTGTCTCCCCTCGCTATGAGGGCCTCCTCCCTCGTCACACCTCGTCGTGAGAGATTTTGATGGCACAGACCGCAAAAGGTCTTACGGCTCGATGCAATCAGCAAGCTACCCGAAGCCCTTGACATCGCCCAACCAATTTGTTACCCCCTTTCGACTTTCGACAAGGTTTAACAATGAACAGTGCGTCTGTCCACCGTTCCCCCCTTTCTGTTGCCCGAACTCGAGGATGATCCATGGCAAGATGCAGTTCTATGTAAACGACGTACAACAGCAGGGACCGACCCTGCAACTATGCACTGTACCTCAACAACTAAACACACTTGAAAATCCACAATCCCTTACGGAAGAGGGACAACGTCACCCACACATCATGCAGCACAAGCTCTTCTCAACACGGATGACCAAGATGGCGACGCTGCTTCTCTCTCTCTGTTGTTCTGCGGAAGCAAAGAGGAAACTTGCTTGGCGGGAGACCGCCGGAAAGTACTGCGAGAGCTAGTAACAGAAAACAAAGAGACGGATGGAGAGAGAGAGAGAGAGAGAGACTGACAAGAAACAGCGAAAACACGTTGTTTGTGTGACGAATGGCATTTACAACGGGGAAATAATCCTCCTCCCCCAAATACATTAAAACGGTCTGCAGCACCTTGGCCGGTTCTCTTGACGGACTGGCTGAAAAAACGACAACGACCTGCCCGAAGCTACAGCAATTCGTCACACGAAACACACGCACAAACAATACGTCTAACGCTCATCTCCATACAGACAAGACGAAGCTTCCTTATCCTTAAATTTCTCGCTTGCTCGTCATGTCGCGCACCAGAAAAAGCGATCCTTCCCCCCGTCCCGACAACGCTGCCATGCGCAGAATTAGCAACATGAAGTGCCCGACTAATGGAAACAACCTCCTCGTCATTGTACACCAACCAACTCTACCCCCACCAATGAAAGAATCCCACCGCACTATTTTACCAGCACTGCTGCGCTATTCCTCCTCAAACAAACATATTGCTTCTTCTTTCTGCCGACTTATGTGATACCTGCGTGTCGTCGCGTCATACTCGGAATCAGATAACGCCCGCCCCCCCCCGTCCCCCGTCCCCCGTCCAAACCTGACCTCTGACGTGTACCGTCCCTCGATCATCCCAGTCAGTGCCAACAAGCGATGCACTTAAAGAGCAACGCGAAACTGGTTTGACAGAACGAAAAATAAGGCTCTTGCCTTGTCGCAAAACGAGGTCGCGTCGGTGCCAGACAGGGGCCGGAGATCAAGCCTTGTTGCGGGGGAATCGCTACTAGCGTAATCAAACCAGGCAGGACACGCTCTTTCGCAACCACGAACAGACAGACAGGGGGAGCGGTGGCCACCGAAATACTAACGCCGTTTTTTCTTGTCTCCGTTTCCTGAGCTGTCCTTTTATGGCGTGTGTGGTTGGCAACGCTTCACAGGTAAAGCAAATAAAAATAGAGCAGTAGCAGTACAGCCGAAACATTTGAATACAATTTACACCACCCCTTGCGTCCAACAGAGTAGGACCCCATCACCGTGAAAGGGGGGGAGGAAGTCTGTTCTTTCCGCTTGTTCGGAAGAATAGAGAAGAGGAAAACGAAGCACCGCAAACAGCAAATAATCTCACAGGAAACAAAACCCCAAGAACGGAGCACAGCAAAAACCACCAAGTAAAAAAACGAAAATGTACCGGCACGCACCGCATACCAGCAGCACTTGTCTCTTCCCTTCAAAACCACGACGACCTCGGGCACGGCCGTCCGTGATACATCTAGTCACCCAACCCCCTCCTTCCCTCTTCCCTACCTACTGATGTCATCCTCGTTTGCTGCTCGAGGGGTCAAAACAACACGCCGAAACAGAAACGCAAAAGAAAACGCCTCGCCAATTTTCACTTCCTTCCTTCCCCCATAGCAAACCTGGGGTGGGCTTCTACAGGAGGTAGATAGCACTCACACCATCTCCCCCGCACCAATCCACCACACCTCAAAAAGCTTCGCGGGCGTGTTGTAGCCGTTCCAGACAGACAACAACGTAAAAAAAGAGGACTCAGCAATTGCAATCAGTCAAGGACTAGGGGGGGCAGCTGGCAAGAGCATGAGACATACCGATCTTGCCGTCGAGCTCACAACCTTGGCCTCCGTGTGCTAGGCGAAAAACTTGTCTCGAATGCTGCCATGAACCAGGTTCGCGCAGCACCGGCATCGACACGATGCCGACCGCAAGTCCAATCATCGTCGTACACGAGGTTTACAGCAGCTACGGGAAGTGGATTCAATAAACAACTGATTCATCCCACGTAGAGCGCGGAAGCTGTTGCTGCTTGTGCTGCTGCTCGTGCTGCTGCTGACACCTCCTCTTTCCCTCACCCTTGTCGTCTTCCATCTCCCCCCCCCCCCCGTCCCCCATTCCGTCCTCTCGAGGACGCGCGGTCAATGGTCTAACTGCTAGGCATGCAAAACGTAACGGTACGCTCCCCCCCTCCCACCCCCCGCCCCGACTCCTCCTCGTCCTCGCCTCTACTCGGCATGCATCACCTGAGGCCGTCCGCCGGCTGAAATGCAATACCAAAGAGTTACGACAAAAACAGGCCAAGATCGCAGTAGACATCGCCTTTCCGTAGTCCACCCCGCCCCCCCCCCCCCCCCCCCCCCCCCCCCCCCCCCCCCCCCCCCCCCCCCCCCCCCCCCCCCCCCCCC